CTCCTTGATTCCCTTCTCTATAACTTGGAATATGTAATGGGCATCATGGGTATAATCAGATGCATCAATAGACCTCAAGAAAGCAGTCCCTAAAGGACAATTCACAAGCAAATTCATCTGACTTCTTGTCTCCCTATCACTTGAAGCATCAGTCATAATAGAACTCCATACTGAGCCCATGCATCATTCTTAACTTCTACAGAATCCTTCGTGACACTCACCGCTTTTTTCAAAAGAGGCTCTGAAAGCTCATATGGGGTTGGAGGTTTCATCCCAGGCCCAAATTGGTCAATTGCCTCTACCAAGGCATAGAAGCTGCTTAAGCGAGCGGTATTGAAAGGAATGCTCGCCTCATAAACCAATGTAGCAATATAAAAAGCATCTCTATCTCTCTCTTCCTTCATTCTATTTTCAATGGTGGTTTACTTCTTTGTTTTCTCTCTTGCAACTTTAGGGTCAGGCTGGGGCAAAAAACTATCTATAGGGCCTCTAATCCGAGGCTTCTTACTCCTAGAACCAGAACTAGAACCAGAACCAGAAGCAATTACAACTCCCTTTCCCTTTCCCCTAATAATGGATTGTTCTATCTCCTGACATCCCTCCCCATCCTCATCACTATCATTATCATAACTGACCGGAACCTTATACCCAATATCTGCTATGGAGGCAAATTTCTCATCTTTTTTCATTTTTACCATTCTCAAAAAATTTGATATTTCCTCTTTAACAGCATCAGGAGTCTTTTTACATGGGGCATCATCCCCCCTGATACCGACAAGATGTTTCTTGAACCGGTTTATGCCCGCTTTTGTATCATTCTCACAAAACTTGCATCTTATGTAATTTTTGTCATTAGGATCTGGGTTGTAGCCATATTTCCAATCAGGATCACTACTCTTATTAGATCCCAAAGAAGACATCTCAAAATAATACAACTTATACAAGCAAAAAAAAAAAATCACTTACTTTGATTGTTCGATCTCCAAACTTCCACTTCAAAGATGTTTCTAAAGACTCAAAATCTCCTAAAAAACCCTCCAATAGATTTATAAAACATCACAAATTAAATCTAATATAAATGGATGATGTTTTAATCAATTTCTCATATTTTTGAGAAACCCTTCAATCTTAAAGAAATTTTTAAAAAATTGTTTTTTGGGATTTTTCTCTCTCTAAAATGGTTTCTAATGTGTTTTAGGTTACAAATAAACCTAAAAACAAGAAATTTGGCCTTTTAGTTTAAAAAAAGACAAAAAATGCCCCTACCAAAATTCATTTCTGCCTCTTGGGCGCCCAGGGTTTTCCTCTTTTTTTCCCCTCCTAAGTTTGGGCGATGTGCCCAGGCCCCCAGAACCGCCTATGGGTTGGGCGGTCTGTTTTTTGAAACATTGAACATTCTAAACTCTCACTAAACCCTAATTCAGAGTTTATACATAGGGGCCTTGGGCACCCCATTTTTTGCCAAAATTGAGAGCAAACCTTGCCTAAGCCTCCACGCTATGTCCATTTGAGCTTCCCCAATCCATGCTAGGTCACGGTATGGTGTAGTATTGATCCTTGGCTCATCTATATCATATTATACCATTGCTCCTTGCACCCTTATGCAGGGGTCCCATGAGGGGGTTGATGTCACTCCTACATCATCCTCCACATCGGGTGACGTAGGATCCCCAGGCCTATCCCATGGACACTGATTAGCCTTTTGGGTGTTTCGTGTGGGTCTCGGGAGCTGTCCTTGTTTGTCATTTCTCCCAAACAATTCTCGAAAAAACATTTTCTTGCCCATAAAAATCTGAATTTTTTTTTAAAACTGCACAAAATCATTTTAATGATTTTCCTACAAAATAAATCATTTTGACTATTTTAAAACATTTTCAAGGGAAATTAGGATCCTTGGAGTTGAATTACGAATCGAAGCACTCCATTTGGCTAGACCTAGAATCCAAAGCCATATTCTCGGTATGATCCAACAGACTTATGACCCACAGTGTATATTCAGGGGTTCATGATATCAGTCTATCAAAGTTAAACCAATGAGTGACCCTAAATCCCCATGTATAGGTGGATTTCAGGTGCACCCCTTAGAGACCATGCACACAAAGGTGTGGGGTTTCCTCACTTGGCACATGTACATAGCTCTTACCAATGGATCCCTGGAAGGGCGGCTTCCCATGCATTACGACTGTATATGCACATGGTACGAGAAGGTTCTAAGTGTCAAGAACTTATGCCAATGTCCTCTATTGGCCCTAACCTTCTTGTACATGTCTATTTTGTCATCGAGCTCATATCATGTAATCACATAAACACATAAATCACATCGCTTTCGCTCGTCACTCAGTCATGAGGCACAAACATAATAACCGACACTGACTAAGAGGTAATCCTTGACCCTCTTGGTATCTCCCATGCATATAAATCCTCCTCATGACTCAATCAGGGTTCCATGACTCTTGGTCGCAGTGCGCTACGATCCTAGAGTCATGTCGCTCTTTTACTCCCACTGAAGTTAAGAGCTATTAAAATGTTGCAATTTAAGACATTAAAAGGACATATTTCCAATAATTACTTCATGTTTGGTAGACTGTTAGTAGGAGTCATTTCTTGGTTTAAAGCAATTCCATCAAAATTGGTCCACCCACTACAACAAAATTTTTGATGGAAATACTACTTAAAAAACATATATTGGTAAATCAAGAGTGAAAAAATCTTTTACCAATAATTCATGAGTTTTGAAGTACGCATGAAGTGAAATATGATTTCTAGTAATATTTAATTTATTTATTTATTGTTGGGGTAAGCAGTAATACTTGAAATTTAAATGCATGTAGTCTATTGTGTAACATAATCTTACAAGCATGAAACTGAAAAAAATGAATCAATACACATTTTCAAAAGCATCTTATGCTTATATTGCTCTAATGTTTTTAAAATTAGATTAGCCTATTGATATGATTTAACTTTATTACTAAATTTTAATCGGAGACACGTGTTTGGAATGGACTGTTTGATACTAACAATGACACTTGTGAAGTCTTTTTGATGGTTTGAATGTGTCTTGAGTTATAGAAAAATTGTCAATTTAGCTGGTAACTCATTTGGTGGAGATGGTAATGAAGGTGATGATTATATTTCCTGCCTTTGAGCAGCTAAAATGCAACACACTTTATGCTTTGAAAACTTTGTATATACCCATTCAATTTGTCTTTGTTTGTTGGGTATCCATTCTTATAAGGACAGGCTCTTCTTATGGCCTCCTTCAGCTAATTTATTTCTGCATGGTAATATTATATATTACCATATAGAAACAAGATTCGTCTAGCCTAAGCCAAATAGTTGGGATAAGGCCCTGATGATGATGCTGATGATGATGATGATGATAGTAATATTATATATAGCCCATTACGGATTATCATAGTTGAATGATTATCATAGTTGAATGTGCAACATTTACTTTAATGAATGGTACATGACGAGAAAGAAGTCAGGATAACTGTTGTAGATGGTCATAATTCTGTTATTAGTTAGGGGCTGTTCAGTTTAGCCATTCCTTAAAAGTAATGTTGATCTTAAGGCATTGCTTGGTCTCACAAAAGCACAACTGAGCTCTTTACCTCCCAGCCACTTTTAACTTGTCCTCATTGGGCTATGAACAAAAGCTTGTTTATAAGTATATTTATTTAATGCTTGGACGAAGCCTATAATATTTAATCTTCTTTTACTTTCTAGACATCCGTGACTTCAAACTTGAGGAAGCAATGCCTTCTCTTAGATGAATCCTGTTGAAATAAAATTTGGAGAGCAATGCCTAAATGTGGCTCTTGCTGAGAATCTAGTTTGAAGAATAAGGAGGAAAAGAAATGTGTGCACTAACAACTCAGAGGCCTAACCAAATATAAAAAGTGTTTTGCGACAAAGCTATGACAAAGAATTTGGTTTTGTTCTTAGCAAGAGGATATATGTTGAATATATATCTTTACTTATCCATAATTCGATTTTAGATGTTGCTGTACTCACTGACCACGGTTATAATGGTTCATACATTTGAATTGCTCTCTAACTTTCAAGGAATTCAATGTGGATGATGGCATTGGTCCTTCATTGAGTTTTTGTAGGCACAACTTCTCTACGACCCCCACAAGTGGATGGGGGTTTTCCCATTTCTTTTTTGGCCAATATTAGCGCTGTTTCGCCGTTTTTGGTCTTCTAGCCTTTTTTGGTCTTCCACAGGACACTATGTATGGTACATTATATTAAGGAAAACAAAGTATGAGGTTAAGTTACTTAATGCCTTTTTTGCACATGGATTAGGAAATTAAGATACTGTAATACGGACTTTGAGTGATTAGAACTTGTTTATTTTGAATGGTTGACTGCTACATTTGAATGGTTTGAAGTGTTTATTAATTGGCTTTATGTTAATGAATGATGAATGTTTATGAATCATGATTTCTTTTCATGATTCATGAGTGTGTTATAATATGAATATCAGATCTTAAGGTTTTATTTTTCAATTGTGCTTTCTCAATAATTTAAAAATCCATCATGTGATTCAGTACTACTAAATATTAGCCAAGAGTAACTCAAAACGTTAAAGTTTCCCTTTTTTTGGTTCTTAAGTATATTTTTCATGAAGTTTTCCAATGGATATGTGTCTTTGTTTGTGTGTGTGTGTGTGTGTGTGTGTGCGTGTGCGCATGTGTACAATACATATGTACATATGTATTGTATACACATTTTTTATATGCAATTTTTTTTAAAATTGGACACAACTCAATGAATTGAGTCTTTTAGACACTTGGTTGTGTGCTCAAGACTTGGGTAAATCTGGAACCGAGTTTGAGGTTTAAGCATTGGTTATGAATTACTTTTCTTGCTTCTCAGGGTAGTAAAAAATCAGTTTTATGTAATCATTATCTTTTTAAATTGGATAAATCCATGATAGCTTTCCTCCTCTCTTCTATTCACATTTGATAAGATAATTTTCTTGTTGAAAACAGGCTGATACCCCCCGATTGAACTTTAAGGACAAGTATTCAGCATCATACAGGAGTGCCCATCCAACAGCACCAGTGCGCGTACCATGGATCTCTGGAGTACTGAGTGTCTGACAACCTTTATATTCCTGTGAGTGAGAAGCATCCGGATCTTTGCCTCATCGAATCTCTGTGCCTATGAAAATATTCACCATTCTTTCTATTATTATTTTTCATGCAGGTAAATTTTGTGTTTGATTTTATTAAAGCTTTTTCTTCTTGTAGCCGAAGGGAGACATTTTTCTTTTATTAAAACTTGTTCTATTCAAGGCACAAATTTCTATAGACAGTAAATCTTCCATGATTTTGAAGCCACTTAACATGTTTTTTACTCATTCTTGTCTTCTTATAGATGACCATGTCAATTGTTGCGTACGGAGAATGTATCCTTCTGTTCTTGAGTTAGGAGTGATATTCATTAAGCCAATCAGAATGTTCTAGTTATGTGGTTTCCTTTGTCACTTTCGGTTTCCTCAATTCAATAAACAATGAGTCTTTAAAGATTTGTTAGGACTTAGGAGAGATCATCGATCAGACATATTGTGGCCGATAGTTGCTGATGCTTTCTCAAATATCACTGGTTTCTAAAGGTTTACTTGAATTTCTTGAGAGCATAAAAATGGAGAGAATCAGGTCCAATGAAGAAAATTTGAGAACTTCACATATTTGTTGGCTCATCTTTGCTATTGGGCTTTAATAGGTCAGCTAGGAAGACATACCTTAAGCCACATTGCTGTTATCAATGCCTTAATCTCAAAGCCTAGAGGTTAGACTTAAAAAATAAAATTTACTAGGATCATTGTGTGATTGGACGTTAATTGCTGCTAATCATATGAACCTGCTTATGAAGATAAGTGCTGCACACATGAAAGCAATCAATTTTTTTGTTAGAACCTGGAACGTAGTGTTGTGGATGACAATACCTTGACTTTTTTGGGGTAAAACCTGGGATGTAGTGTCATGGATGACAGTACCTTAACCTATCAAGTCAGTGAATGAGTACCTATAAAAAACCATCTGGGTCATTGTTTTGTCAACAACATGCTCATTTTTGTCAAAGGATAATGTTATACTGGGATTAAAGTGGAACATTATTAGAAAAAGAGAAAAACCATACCTATGGGTTGTAATATTTACTTCTCAACCATATCTTATGATTTCAAATAGCCTATTGTTTGTTTGATCAAATTAATGGCACATCATTGTGGGTTATGAAATTTATCAAAGCACAGTTGTGGTGAATGTTAAATATTTTCACTTTTAGGTATGATTTGATAAATTTCCTCCCTTAGAAAAAGTATGATATTATTTGAAGTAGAGGAAAGTATCTCGTAATAAAACACATCATACTGAACTTTTGCTGATGCATATGGATTGTTTATTTAGACATGGATAATTTTCACACAATTAATCTGTGCATGAGCTTAATTATTTGTTTCCTTATGGACTGGAGATTATTAATTCCTTCACTTGACAAAATTTGTGTGAAGCTACAAATTATTCTCACCATTTGTAGTTAGGATACAAATGGTAAAGATTGGGAAACTTCTGTGAACCTTGTAAGATTAATACCCAGTTCCACCATGTCATAAGCCTTCCCAACTATATTATGTATAAGATGGACAACTAAAAACCTTGCTGGGGGTGAATGAAATGCTCTTGTTTTTTAGAGTTCTCCTTTTGGGTTGGCTGGCGCCAGTTGTTTATGCTAGCTTTGGACCCAAAATCATGATATCTGCCACTGTCAAAATGCCAACCCAACTTTGATCTCTTTTTGGATTGATGTCATCTGATTGGAAAATACTTGATTACTGTCATAGGACTGTGCTAGCCTGGCTAGCCTATCCCTAGAACCCGGCCTGGGCCACTAAAGTTGGCCTGCAGGCTGAAGCTCAGGCCTGAAATCCAGGCCCCGTACAGGGTGGGCTAGGTGTCCATGACTTGCTCCAGTCTATCCCGAGCCCATAAACATGGTTTTTATATGCATATAGAAAAGTTTTAAGAGAGGGCCCGATTAGGTTTGATCCCAAATAATACTAGCTTGCGTGCAAGCTAACCAATAAAGCTCCAACTCAATAGTTGTAAACTATTTTACTTTTTAACAGTAAGGAGGTCACAACTGTTCCCACTCATTAGATATCAAATTGGCTTGGGGTAAGTCACGAAGTCTGAGAATTTGTTTTTTGGAACTGTCTAATCAACAACCGCCCATTTTGAAATCTAAAGGACAAGAATGATTGTGACTTCTTTATACATAAAGTAAATGGTCTCTTTGTAGACAATCCCACCCCCCAAACACAAAACTATCTCTATCTTTCCAGTTTCAAAAAAAAAAAAATCTCTTTCAAATACAAAAACCACTCTCCTAGCTCTCTCTCTCTCTAACCTACAAACGAGCTCTCTCTCTGTCTCTTTCTACCCTCACCCGTAAACCTAGCTGCTTATCTCTCTCTCAACAACCATAAATCTTGCCTTCTCTCTCTATATAACACAGAACCTAGCTAGCTAGTACCTTGCCCTCTCTAGAAAGCCAATCCTTTTGGTTTCTCTTTTCTAACCCAAATAACATTGGCAAGGGTCAGCTTGCCGTTTGTTGTGAGAGATAGACTGTGTGTGTTTAGGGGGAGAAAGAAGCAGTTTGGTTTTGTGTAGATAGAAAGAGAGGGGGTAGGAACTATTAAGATTCTGTTTAGAGAGAGAAAGCGGGGCTATTGAGCCTATCTTTTTGTAGGGAGGGACTATATTGCCTAGCTTTGTCTGGGCTTCAAGGAGAGAGAATAATAGTTTCTGTTCCGTAGAGAGAGAATAGTAGGATGACTATGTAGAGAGCGATAGCTTCGGAGGAGATTCCTACGGATTTCCCACCCAACCACCTGAAAGCAGGACTGAAAACAACCAAAAAGGAGTTTCATAGGGCAAAAGGTTTAAGGTTTTGGAGTATGCTTAAGCACTAAGGGATTCTGGAGTATGCTTAAGCAATAATCCCTTAGTATTAGAATCAATATATTGGATACGCCAAGCCTGGATACCCTATTGTTGGAATCCAGATCCTCTACACTCTTAAAGACCTAAACAAGGTGTTCCCCTAATATTAAAATCGATGTATTGAAGGGCCTTTTTGAGGTTCTGGATGGAACAAAGATCATAAAAATACTTGATTTGTGAATAATGAAATTTAAAAACAAAATATTTATTCTGGGTTTTCAGAATTTAGGAATGATATTAAGTACAGTTTGTAGACACCCATAGAGTTCTTAAACACCGATCATATATTAAATAATAATAAATATGAAATATTAGAATGTTTCACTTGTCCATTAGGGAAGTCGTGCTTGTGTTTATAAAACATACAAAATTGTCTTATTTACAATTGAAAATAAGATTTTCTTTTGACATATATACTTGAAGTTGAGACTTTGTTTGTGTCTTCTTGATGCTCTATGTTGTAATCCATGGGAATTGATTCGAACCCAATATTCTTTCCTAATTCTTTTTAAGGAGTAGTTGACGAGTTCTAGAGCTAGTAGAAAAACAAGTTGTGCAAGAATCCCTAAATTTCTTTTACAATATTCGTGATTCAAAAAAAAGAAGAAATGGATTGAGATTCTATAATGCGAGATTTTATGTTGATCAAAGCACAGTTTTGTGTACCTATGAACCTTGGTATTGGATGCTGTGGAATTTGGAGTCCAAAAAAAATTAAATCAAGATTAAATAATGTGGAATCAAGGTTCCTAATTTTACAGAAACAGGTTCGATGACGATTCGTTGATGGAACCGCCAGATCGGAATTCTAAAGCAGTATTGCCAGCAGGGGAGAGAGATTCCAGTAATTATGATTTATATCTATTATATATCTTTGAAGTAAAATAACATACAAGTAATGTGGTGGGGCTTTAAGTGGTAATAAATATGCATGGTAGTTACTATTTTTAAAGTTTGAATCCCTTTTACCTGCATTTTTTAATTTTTCCTTGCCCTTTCGCAAAGTTAAATGCGCTTGAGCCCAGTAGGCCTGGCCTGCTAGAACCAATAATAGGACTGTGCTGTGTCATCTCACCCTGTGTATGGTCAAACCTGGGTTAGGGACTCTAGCCTGATCTAGGCCTGGGTAGACCTTGGACAGCCTTGGCCTAGCCCAGGCCCCGGCTGGGACCATGCCCAATTAAAGAATGAATAATAAATATGTAATGTTATCTTTGTTTTTTTTTTTCATAATGATCTTTATAAACTATTGTCTTCTTTAAGTTAGCCAAAAGAAAGATGATGCCTTATGTTAGTGGGTTGATGAAACTTAGGAGTTCTTATTTTTTTTCAACATTGACTTGGTACTCTTTCATTGATTATATGAGCTATATATCATTTACACCATCAGATCAAAAAGTGAAAAGAACATAAAGCTCAATATACCTAATTCCTCCAAAATCAAAGTCTATTTATGAACAAAGGTGGTCTGTCCACGAGTATCGTCTCTATTGTGTTATCTGAAAATATGTTGGAATAAGACCTTCCTCAAGTTCACAAGGTCCTTTAACTTATCGTAGATTTGCTGAAGGTGCCAAGGCATACCCTACACCGGTTAATAATATTTAAGGAATCCCCTTCCACCAAGATTCTTTCCTGATTTCAGGCAGCATTCTGAACCCTTATAAAAGAGCATGGGCTTCAGCTTAAGTGGCTGAGCAAGCACCACTGAAAGTTAATATATGGCCCATAATCGACCCTAAGAGTATCCCTATACAAGCTTACCCAGGATTTCCAATAGATCTACCTTCAAGTTTAACTTTAGGAAAAACCATGGGATGTTTTGCTATGAATTCTGGATGAGATGGTTTATCCTCAATCCACAGCAATGGGGGCATATTGCATTCAACATGAAACAAGAAGTGGCACGGAAATTGAAAATCACAATAAAGGTTTCATTCTAAGAGTCTCTTTTGACAAAACAGAACAGTGAATGCCACGGAAATTGAAAATTACAATAAAGGTTTCATTCGGTTTTCATATTTGATTTGAGTGAGAAGGAAACTCCAAATTTCAAACCCTTTCGCCCTGTTTGATGACCCAAAACTTTATTAAAAAAATGTAGATGAAAATATGTGAAAACTAAGTTTATTTTTTCTCTGGAGTTGTGAGCATTTTGGTGGCATTTTTGTAATAAATGGGGGATGGAAGGGCCCATACCCTTAAATGGCGGAGTGGACCAAACCATTTCCTTATGTTGTAATGAATGGGGGAAGGAACGGCCCATACCCTTGAATAGCGGAGTGGACCAAACCATTTCCTTCTGCAGTCCTAAATGGGCAGGGCAACTGGACTTATTTCTTAGTAAATGGCCCTTCCTAGAGAAATGTCAACTGAACTTGCTTGATTTTGTTGACTAATTTCGTTGACATTCCTCTTAGTGTCGACCACTAGGCCAAAACAGGAATGTGTTTGCTAGG